TTTTTTAAAGATTTTATTTATTTATTTGACAGACAGAGATCACAAGTAGGCAGAGAGGCAGGCAGAGGGAGAGAGAGGGGGAAGCAGGCCCCGTACTGAGCAGAGAGCGTGATGCAGGGCTTGATCCCAGTCCTGGGATCATGACCTGAGACGAAGGCAGAGGCTTTAACTCACTGAGCCACCCAAATGCCCCTCAAATGTTTCTGTGTTTTTTTTTTTTTCTGTTAAAATGGCCATACAGTTTTTGTCCTCTATTCTATTAAAATGATTAAAATTTTTATGTCAAAACAACTAACTTTGCATTCCTAGGTAAATTTCACATGGTGGGTCAATCTTTTTTATATATTGCTAGATTTGGTTTGCTACCATTTTGTTGGGAATTTTTGCATGTATGTTCATAAGAGGTAATGGTCTGTAGTTTTCTCTTTTTGTGATGTCTTTGTCTGGCTTTGGCATCAGGATAGGATAATATTGGTCTCACAGAATGTTAGAATGGCCTTACAGAGTATTCCCTACTCTTCTGTCTTTAAGAACAGTCTGAAAGATTGGTGTTAATTCCTCTTTAAACATTTGGTAGAATTCACCAGTGATGCCATGTGGTCTTAGAATTTTCTTTGTGGGAGGGGGGGCGCCTGGGTGTCTCAGTGGGTTAAAGCCTCTGCCTTCGGCTCAGGTCATGGTCCCAGGGTCCTGGGATCGAGCCCCGCATTGGGCTCTCTGCTCCGCAGGGAGCCTGCTTCCCCCTCTCTCCTTTCCTGCTTCTCTGCCTACTTGTGATCTCGCTCTCTGTCAAATAAATAAATAAATAAATAAAATATTTAAAAAAAAAAGACTTTTCTTTGTGGGAAGTTTTTGGATTACTAATGCAGTTTTTCTCCTTTCATAGGTTCACCCAGATTTTCTATTTCCTCTTCAGTCATTTTCTAGGAATTTGCCCATTTCATTGAGGATATCTGATTTATTGGCATACAATTATTCATAGCACTGCCTTAGCATCTTTTCTATTTATGTAAAGTTGGTTGTGATGTCCCCTCTTTGATTCTCAATTTGAGTAATTTGAGCCTTTTCTCTTTTTATCCTCATCAGTCTAGTTAACGATTTGTCAGCTTTGTTGACCTTTCAAGAAACTAACTTGTGATCTTCTTAAGTTCTCTTTGTTGATTTTCTTTTTTTTTTTTTTAAAGATTTTATTTATTTATTTGACAGACAGAGATTACAAGTAGGCAGAGAAGCAGTCAGAGAGAGGAGGAAGCAGACTCCTTGCTGAGCAGAGAGCCCGATGTGGGGCTCGATCCCAGGACCCTGGGATCATGACCTGAGCTGAAGGCAGAGGCTTTAACCCACTGAGCCACCCAGGCGCCCCTCTTTGTTGATTTTCTTATCTCTATTTCATTTATTCCCACTCTGATCTTTATTATTTCCTTCCTTCTGCTAGCTCTGGGTTTGGTTTACTTTTACTTTCCAGATCTTAAGGTGGAAGAATTAAATTATTGAACTGCAGTCTACCTTTCCTTTTTAACACAGGTGATTACAGCTATAAATATTCCTCTACTTTAGCAGAATCCCACAAATTTTGGTATGTTGTGTTTCATTTTTATTCATCTCCAAATATTTTTTGATTTCTCTAATTTCTAATTTTCTTAGTTCTTTTAAAAAATATTTTATTTATGTATTTATTTATTTGAGGTGGGGGTAGGAGTGGAGGGAGAGGGATAAGCAGATTCTGTGCTGAGTGCAGAGCCCAACTCAGGGCTTGATCCCACGACCCTGAGATCATGACCTGAGCCGAAATCAAGAGTCAGATGCTTAGCTGACTGAGCCATGCAGGTGTCCCTCTAATTTTCTAATTTAAAAATTTCTTTTTAAAAAAATATTTAATTTTTTTACTTGTCAGAGAGAGAGAGAGCGCACAAGCAGGGAGAGCAGCAGGCAGAGGGAGAAGCAGGCTTCTTGCTGAGGAAAGATCCTGATGTGGGACTTGATCCCAGGATCCTGGGATCACGACCTAAGCCGAAGGCATATGCTTAACCGACTGAGCCAACCAGGTATCCCTGATTTCGAATATTTCTAATTCCAAAGTATTTTCTATTTTCTCACCATCTCTTCTTTGAGATAGCAGAGTTGTACATGTGTTCAGTGGTTAAGAAATACATAAATAGTACTGTAAATATGGATCAAGTTGGGACAAAGTTGCATTTTCGAAACAAGAGTTATAGCAGAATGGGCTGTACAACATGGTCACAAGGCACCTGCCATCATGCCCCAAAATGTTATCACTCAGCTCCCCACATCCAGTGCATAGAATGTTCTCCAAAATGTACCTCCAGGCCACCTACTCATCCCCACCCCCACGTCCTTAATCCAAGCCACTATACTTGTCAGTCTGGGAAAACTGTAACAGTCTCCTGAGTTCTCACTCTGTCTTTCTTGCCTCCTACAGTCTGTTCCCCATGCAGTGAGCTTTTTTAAAATGAGAAATCACCAATCTGATTATGTCTCCCTCCTGTTTAAAACCCTCCAATGGCTTCCCAATCTGATGAGAACCCTTTCCCATGGCCTATCAGATTTGAAATGAATTGATCCCCTCCGTCTCCTGACTCACTACCCCTCACTGACTTATGACCTCCCCATTCTTTATGCTCCAGCCATATCCAGTGACCCTGCTGTTTCTTTAAAATGAGTTTCCATCCCAGGGATTTTGAATTCTTGATATTTTCTTCCCTTTTCCCTCATTATTCCAACCTTGGCCCAAATGTCACCCTCTCAGAGAGACCTAGAGTGACCAGAGCTTCCTGCATGGTCCAGACACTTCCCATATATAGTACTGAAAGCATCACGTCCTGGAAAACCTCATAATCTCAAGCCATCCAGGATTGTTGGTCACCCCTGAGTACTCCATCCGAAATACCCCCTACCCAGTCATCGCCTGAGTTGCTATTATATCACTGTTCCTATAAGCATGAGAATTGTGTCCCTAGCACCTAGAATGGTGTCTGACAAATAGTAGGCACTCAATATTTTTGGCTAAATTAATAACTGAAGAAAAAAAAAAAACAACTGAAGGAAAGGAACTGATTCCTGGAGTCCTAAGCTTAAGACTCCATCATATAAAAATCTGAAAGAAGCAACCTGTGCCTGGGTGGCTCAGTGGGTTAAAGCCTCTGTCTTCCGCACAGGTCACGATCTCAGCATCCTGAGATCGAGCCCCGCATTGGGCTCTCTTAACCAACTAACCCACTCAGGCACCCCTACTTACTGCCATTCTGTTAACTGAAAGAAGCAACCTGTTAGAAAGCGGCTAAATCAATTCTTCAGGCGACCATCAGCATTTTCATTAAAATGAATAGAATAGGAAAGATCAAGCATTCCCAAAAGTATCATGTTGTGGAAATTTTTAGTTATTACGTGTTTGTTTGGACTGAGCATTTGGGTCAAATGCATTTCTTGCTGTGGCCTTGTAGTCAAAAATGTTTGAAAACCACCCAGCTACCAGCCAAATGCACGGGCTTTGGTACCAGACTGAGGGTCTGAAGCCCTTGTAAGCTGTTTGGCACTGTGCAAACTCACTCATTCCTTCCAGACCTCAGTTTCCTGATCTGTAATGTGGGCATAGTGCATGCACATTTCTTGGGATATGAGTGTGACATTAAACTGAGTTAGCATACCAAAAAAATGCTTAGATCAGTTTCTGGCACCTAAGAACAATTTAATCAGTGCTCACTAATATGATTACTTGTTGAGTGAATGAATGAATGGATGACTGAATGAATGAATAGGTCCGAGGTCTAATCTTCCTTGAAATTGCCCTGCCTGTTTCCTTCCAGAACAAGTTTTCTCTCCAGCCCCTTCTCCTGAATAACTATATATGTTTGTTTATTCTGTTTATTGTCAATGTCCGGGGATGAGAATAAAATCTCCAGGAGCGTGTGGGTTGTTTATCCTATGCAGGGCTGAACCTACCATCTGGGGCTGCGGGGAGGGAAGAGGGTTGGCAAACATTTTCTGTGAAAGGCTGGATAGTAAATATTCTAGGCTCCGCTTATGTCATTCCATCTTTGAGCAACGAATTAACTCTTCAGTGCTCAGCTCTGTCCGTGGATTGTGAAAACAGCCTCTCAAATTCTCTTAAAAGATGGGCCTGGCTGCGTTCCAATAAAACTTTATTCACAAACACAGGCAGACATAATTTGGCTCAAGGGTGTGGTCCGCCAACCCTTAAAGATACTAAAAATACTGGATTCAGTAATGCAAGAATTTCACACATTTTCCACCTGCCACTGAAGATTCTTCTTTTGGTTGTTTAAAACCTCTTAAAATTTTTTTTAAAGGTTTTATTTATTCATTTGACAGAGATCATAAGTAGGCAGAGAGGCAGGCGGGGGGGGGGGGGCGGCGGCGGGCAGGCTCCCCGCTGAGCAGAGAGCCTGATGCGGGGCTCCATTCCCGGACCCTGAGACCCCTGACCTGAGCCGAAGTCAGAGGTTTTAACCCACTGAGCCACCCAGACGCCCCTGTTTAAAACCTCTTAAAAAATATTTTAAAACTCCCAGCTTGTGGTCCATGAAAAACAGGCAGCGGGCAGAACTTGGCCCGCAGGTCGGAGTTTGCGGACCCCAGACTGAGACTATGCCGGGACGTCCTGAATAATCGAAGGCCCCATTAAGGTCGCCGAAGTTTAGCCTTCCGGGAGCAGCGCCACCCACCGGGAGCCGCGCGCGCTTCCCGCTAGCCAACCCTCCGAGCCCCGCGCGCCTCCCGGCAAGCCACGCCCTCCCTCGCGGCTATTGGTCAAGCCTCGCCCTCATCCTCGCCAGGGGACACCCCCTCTGACGGACACTGCAGGCAACCAATGGAGTACCGCAGGGCCTCCTCGCGCCCGAGGGAGGCGGGCGTAGGCGGGCCGTTGAGGGGTGGGGCGTGGAGCCTGGTAACCGTTGCCGGTAACAACGCCCCGCCCCATCGCGGCGGGCGGGCTGGCGGGCGGGCTGGCGGGCGGGCGCGCGAGGCAGGCGGGCGGGCGGCGGGAGCGGGAGGAGGAGCGGTCGCCGCCGCCACCGCCGCCGCCATAGAGACTGTAGCCGTGGAGACTGTTACTTACCAACGGGGACCAACACGCAGCCGCCGCTGCTGCCGCCGCGGGAGCCGCTGCCCGAACTCCCGGCCCGAACTCCAGGTGACCGATGCGACCGCCCGGGGCCCGGCCCGACCGGGGAGTGCGGGGGGCGGCGGGGATCCGGATCGGGGGTCGGGACGTTCACCCCAAACGTCCGGGGTGGCGCCCCCGCGGGACCCGTCTCTTCAGCCCAGTTCCGCAGGCGCGGCGGAGTTTGGGGGAGTCTGGGAAACACCCCCCGACCTTTTACCCAAACTTGGGGGCAAGTGGGAACCGTCGCCTCACTTTTCAGAAAACTTCCTGAGTTGGGGGCCCCCGAGATCCCTCTCTCACTCTTACCCTCTCACTCTTACCAAATCCCCGACTTGGGTGTGCCCCTGGACCCCTCAAACTTTTATCTTCAAACTCCCTGAACTGGGCCCGGGAACCTCTTCTTACTTTACCCCCAAATCCTTAAGCTGGGGGCGCCCAGGGACCACTCTCTCACTTCCTCTCAATTTCTTGAAACATCTCAACTCCCTACCTTAAACTCCCGGAATTGGGGCTCCTGTAGCCCCTCTTATCTTTTACTCCCCAAATCTCTGAAATTGGGGTCCCCGGGGCCCCTCTCGCACTCCTAACCTCAGGCTCCTGAATCGCGAGGGCCCGGAAGACTCGTTTTCACTTTTGCCCCAATTTCCTGGATTTGGGGTGTCTTGGGGACCGTCTTCTCATTCTGACACCTCCCTCCAGAATTGTGAGCTTGAGGGCTCCCGTGGAACCGGGTTCTCACTGTTTACCCAAAAGTCGATGAGCTTATCTTGGGGAAAACGCCCCCCTCCCTTACTCGCCCCAGACTCACCGAGAATCAGACTCCCCTGGGACCCGTTTCTCACCTCTTTACCAAAAATCCTCGTGATTAGGCTCTTCGGACCCTCCTCCCCTCTCTCCCTTTGAGCCCCACATTCCAGAGTTTGGGGCATCCTGTGTCCGCCAGGGCTTGCACCCCGCTTGGGAAGCCCCTTCGCGCGGCCACCGCTCCCCTATTTGGACTGATCTCCAAGCGAGGAGAGTTTCCCCAGAAGTTGTGTGCGTGTATGTGCGTGTGTGTGTGTGTGTGTGTGTGTTTTAATGTATTGACCTATTTTGTTTAAAGAGCCCAACCTGTGGCCCAAAACTGCTCGGTGACATTTTCTCCTGGGATTGTGTGAGTGCGTGTCTGTTTGTGAATTTGAACCCCACCCCTAACTCCCCCTTCCCCCCGAAGCGCGCTGGGCACACAGAGACACACAGACACCCCCCCGCCCCCCAAATACGCTATTCCTTTCCCCTCCAGAGAGAAGCCAGGGGCTCCCTCCCCACCGGTCCCTGTGGGCTGTTTTCCCGGCTGCACTAGGAAAGTTCGGTTTCCCCGATCCTAGTGGCTATTTCAAGGGCCCCTGGGGCCGAGGTGCCCCTGCCATTCCAGCGGAGGCGGGGGTGGTTCACCGTCCTAATTTTAACCTTCTGGTTGCCCTGCAGGAATGAGGGAGGGAGTCCAGGTCGGCGTTCTCCATAGACCTACTGCGGGCTTCTGGCTGTTTTCATGGGGCAGCCCCCAGCACACAGGCACGCGCATAGCACAACTATTTCTTGCCCGGTGCGATTAACCGGCGGTGCAGACTTTCCTGAGTTTTTTTGCCCTCCCAGCCAGCTTTATCTCGCAAATCCAAAATATCAAACCTTATGTAAGACTCTCGGTTTCAACTAAGACTCCCCCAACTAAATAATTATGCTAATAATAATGACCCAAAAAGCAACACCAAAACCTTTCTTTTTTCCTGAGCATGTTGTCAATAGGTTTTTATCCCTTGTCTTCATGCTCTGAAACACTGTGTGCTTCTGTAAAGACCCTTACCCTCCATCCTGGGAGTATCAGGGCTGGCTACCGGTTCTTTCTCCCACTCGGGTTTAAAAATGTGAGCCTGCTCCAGAATAATGTTAGAGACGGCTTATCACCTACCCTTGCCAGAGAGGTGAGAGTGTGGTGAGAGCCTCCCCTCCCTCTGCCTTCCCCTCCCACCCACTTCTCCCTGCTCCGCCCCCCCCAAACCAAGAATCCAGTCTCTTTAGTCACTGATCACTGCTATCTTGGCCAGCCAGTGAGCTTGGTAAATACCAGAGGGGACCGGGTAGTTTTCAAAAAAAGATTTCTGATACATGATGGACAAGCCGACTGCTTCTGTGGTCCTGTGCTATTTGGCTGGTTTAGGCTGGGAGTAAGTTCAGATACAGTTTGCTTCTGCAATAAAAGCAAAACTGAATTATTTGGCCTTTAGTACATTCCTCTTTTGTGCCAGATAAACTCCAAAGGAGCATCTGGGAGCAGGGGGACAGTTATTAATTACACTAAGCAACAGAATGAGTTCTTTGAAATTCCATTGATATTTGCACTCTGCGCTAAGGACATACATTACCTCTTTTTTCAAAGATTTTATTTATTTGAGAGGGAGTGCACGAGCAAGGCAGGGGCAGAGGGAGAGGGAGAGGGAGAAGCAGACTTTCCGCTGTTGGGCTCGATCCCAGGACCTTGAGATCATGACCTGAGCCATGGCTCCATCCCAAGACCCTGAGATCATGACCTGAGCTGAAGGTGGCTGCTTAATCGACTGAGCCCCCCCCCCAGGCGCCCCAGGACATACATTATTACCTTAATATTCAGCTTTTAGCATGTTTCTCACCGAAGCATGGCCGGGCTGGGGCCAGTCACCAGAAATGCAGATGCTGGGAAATATCTCATTCCTTTGAGCTAATTTGTACTTTCAGAGTGAAGTTAAAATTAATTCTTATTCGTCAATATTTAATTAATTGACCTTTGGTTAATGTTATAGCTGAGTCAAAATTTGCAATGTACCGCTGGGATTTTTATAGACATTTGCAGTTGTTTTCCTCGTAAAATTCCAGGGCCGGTAGGAACTGTATCTTATCACTTTGACTCTTTTTAATTAACTGCAAGGTGACCACTTATTTAAATAATGTGCCCCCCTCCCCTGACACCTGCTTACTTGTAAAATGTGAACTATTTAAAAGACAAGGAAAGCCTTGCCAGACTTGGGAGCCGAAGGTGTAAGCCCCGAGGCACCCCGCAAACACATCCGCATTTCCGCTCAAGGCTGTACGGACGTTCCACTAAAAAGCCTTTGGGCTCCCTCTCTGTTATTTAAAGGATGAGTCTCTCCATCCCAGCCCAAGTTCTCTAGACACGTGCCTGGCACCGGGAGTGTCCTTCCTTTGCTGAATGAGTGAATGGAGTATGTGTGGGAAATGACAGAGGACACTGACAACCACCGACATGCTTCTTGGAGACCTCAAGAGCAGCAAGGGAATTCTTACAGGGGGTGGGGGGCGAGGGGAGAAGGGAAGGAAGACCCAGGCTCTTCCTTGAAGAGAATCAGGGGTGCGTGGGATAAGAAGTAGGTGACAGAGGATGGGGAGAAGAGCCAGGGAGAGAGCCCGACAGGTCTGGGGATCATCTGGGCCTGGGAGGCGTGGTCTGCCTAGGAGAACGAGGAAGATCTTTCTAGTAAATGGATTTCTGACAGCCCACCTAAGCGCAAGGTGGCCAAACCGAGCTCCCCATGGGCCCCTCAATCTGCTCGTCTGCCCTGCACCCCGTTAGTGAAGACCCGCAGGCTTCTCCTGGCGGATGAGGCCAGCACTTGGGCGTCCGCCTCTTTTCTCGCCAACCATCAGCAAATGGTCCAACCGCACCCGATCAGTGGCGATCTGGAACCTGACCGTGCCTCACCACCTTCACTCTCAGTCCCCGCTCCAGGCCACCAGCCGGATGGATGGATGGATGGCCCCCGACTGTTCGTTAGCCAGGTGGGGGTGGAGGAGGGGGTCATATTACCTGCCTTGTGTTTCCCTCAGCTCAGAACCCTCCCATGGCTCCCGTCTCACAGTCTCACCGAGCAAAGGCCAAAGTCTCTTCCCACCCCGGGCCTCTCCACCCCAGTCCTCTGTGGCCTCATCCCTGACACTGAACTTGCTCCTCGCTCAGCTTCAACCCCGCAGGCCTCTTGGGAGTTCCTCAAGCTTTCTGCCTAGAAAGTTCTTCACCCAAATAAAGGTGGGGGGGGGTTGCTGCTCCCACCCTGTCTTCAGGCCTTTTCTCCAGTGTCACCTCCCCAGGCCACCCACTCAAAAGCGACACCCACTTAGCCTCCTCCCCCGCTGTCTTTTTCCTTAGCCTTTATCACTCACAAGCGGGACATAATGACATAACGCACATTTATTTTTATTATCGCCATCTGGCCCCCATTAGAAGGGCAGCCCCTTAAGGGGAGGAAGCTGTGCGCGATTTATTAACTTCTCTTTCCTCCGGGCAGAGCACGATTCTGACGCCAAGTGGGCTCTCGGTCAGTATTGGTTAAATGAATAAACAAACAGTTTCCTGCCCACCTGTGGGGGAGGCTCACCTAGAAATGGACAGTCGCTCCTGACCTTCAGATGTCGCCGCCCCTGCGTCTCGGAACAGCCGGGATTGGACGGAGAAGGGCTCGGGTGCGGTGTCTCTGGGGCTTAGCCCCGGGGGCGGGGGTGCCGGGCGCTCCAGGAAACGCGTGGAACGAGGTAATCACACTGGCAGGGCTGCTGGATGAGAAGTACTGTCTGTCAGCGGGTATCACCGGGCCTGGTCGCAAGTCAGCGGTCCGCAAAGACTGGCTGTTTGCTCTTTTCTCACCGTTGTTACGATTCGGGAGCAAACGAGCTGTCGCGGCCTGGGGATGGTGTTCTCGGGTTTTCTGACCCGAGCGAGGGCCCACGGGGCATTAGGAAACTGTGTTTTGCCTGATGGAGCTGATGAGCCTCCCCTGTCATTCCTGGGGGCAGGGAAGGGGGTTCAGTGTCCTTCTGTGAGTGTAGAAGTTCCCTGGGACAAAGATATCGTTCCACAAGCATTAGCGCTCAGCAGAACCACCACCAACAAAGGCCAGTGGCTGGGAGTCCCCCGGGCTTGGTTGTGGCCAAGGCCCCTTGGCACCCTGTCCCCCCACATCACCCCCTCGGGGGGGGGGGGGGGCCCTGGCAAGTGGCCA